AGAAGACCCCAGGACCAGCAGACCGGCCCCAGGTGAGTAAATCTTGCCAATCCCTGACCTAGGATAACAATTTGTCTACTAGATATTTCTTACGGTGAGCCCAAACATGTGAACTCCTAGGATAGCAATTTGTCTACTAAATAGTTATCATGGAATCTTCAACATGGATATAAAACATATTGCAAACCATCTTACCTTTTCTAAAGAATCCTGATTTCCACATCTTAGAAGCACGAATATTTACCTACAGGGTAGAATGGGACCATGTTCCTAGGAATGACTGGCCAGTTTCCCCTAATTCCAGGTTTTATCATGTCCCTGTTGAGAGCGTGGAACTAAAAACTACTCTCTGTTGTTGCATGACCATTCCCACTGTTCTTCAACACAACCACCCGCCCTCCACTGTTAACATTTTCTATTATTACTGGGACATGCTTATTGCTAAACTCTGTTTTCACTGAAACATATTAAGCTTCCAAGAAATCCAAATCCTTAACTCAAAAACTTAGTAAATAGACTACTTCCATGTGGAATACAAACTAAGTCTATAGATATATTTCCAATGAGGATGGAAAACCCAAACCTACATGAGCTGGAAATGTATCCTAAATAAGGCATTATTTGTGTAATTTTGTTCTAGAAATTTAGAAAAGCTGACTAATCTGAGAAGTGAATATGTAAGACCTTCCAAAAGTATGAACTTCACCATTACAGCAATATTTGTCCTAAAGCCATTCTCTTAAATTCAATGAAAGAATGCATGTATGTTGGAGGAATTAATACTACTTGCTTTAAAAGCAGATTTATTTTAATCTCAGAAGCATGCAGTGAATTACAATTTTGGAAATGGACTAACTGATTTTCAACTGATTAGATACACATTTTGGAAAAGCTCTGAAAAATATGGCAACTTTTAAATGTGGGGGTACTGAGCCAATTACCACTGCTTCTCAGAAATCTCCATCATCATCAAAGGAAATGGAAAAACTTAGTTCCAAGAGTTACGTTCTGTTGCAGAATTCTCAAAGAATTAGACCTACAAAGTAGGAAGCATTGAAACCTGAAGAGTGTTAAACCATGTCCTCAGGTTTCAGCCACCAGCCACATACATTTTTTTTTATTTTTGCTTTGGGGGAAAGGAAGTTAACAGACAAAAAACAGATGGGACCAAAATTGTTTCAAAAAATCTACTGTATCTTTGTTGGTTAGAATTTTTGCAAACAAGGAGAGTTTACAGCTTCCTATAACAAATGTTCTATCTCATGTGGACATGTGTTTCCTGGCTCCCAAATTCATTCTACACCCATATACATTCCTTTGGCATATGGGCCATTTTTTTTTCAATGAGATTTGGGCAGGCGGGAGGCAAACCTGCATGAATAAGGGTTAAAATGAGCAAACAAAACATGTACATACTTCAAAATTCTTCACTACTAAAAAGACAGCAAAACCAGCCCAGTTAACACGTGTTTCTTACTGGAAGTTTTTTTTTTTTTTTAAACCTTTTGGATTCAACCCTGGAATATTATTATTATTATTATTATTATTATTATTATTATTATTATTTTACTTAAGATGCTTTCCCCATTCTTAGCAGGGTGTATCTGATGCTAACTCTGTTCCAAAGCTTTTCAATAACAAAGTGGAAGAATGTCCTACAAATAACTTTTTTTCACCATAGTTTTCTACTAAGAATGTCAATGTAACAGACTAGTTGTTTAAATGAAATAAATTACTGTATATAGGTTTTCAACCATGCCCTAATGCTTATCAATTTCAATTTGTTTTAGTATGTAGTGATTAACAGTAAACCAATGTTTACATAAAGTGCTTATTTTAGGGATGTTGTAAACAGACCATTCAATAGTTTTTCTGAAGACTACGGGCCTTTGCAGACTGCCAGAAATAGTGCAAATTGAGTCCACTTTAAGAGTTAGGGTTAGGGAATCATGGGAACTGTATTTTATTGTGGCACCAGAGCTCTCTGACAGAGAAGGCTCAATGTCTCAGAAAAAAATACAATTCCCATGATTCCCTAGCACTAACCCTAACCCTTAAAGTGGACTCAATTTGCACTATTTCTGGCAGTCTGCAAAGGCCCTAACCAACTTTGGGAAATGAAATCCCAAAGGATCATCTAAAATGTGGATCAATGCTGTACTTCCTTGATAGCAAACTTAAGTACAAATTCTAACCATATCCTGCTTAAACAGTGGTCCTCTGAATGAACTGAAGCAGATGAATGAAGCCTACTATGTTAGTTTCCTTCATTCCTTTCCACCCACATTAAATTGTTTTGACATTGTTTCAACAGAAATGCAACACTACCCAGCATGAGACTTGAAGGAGGGCACTGAATGTGGACAGCAAAGAAAAGAACCCTTCAAACCAGGACTAGCCTTTCTTGGCAATTTTTATTTGGCAGATTTGTAACAATGGAGACAGCATTCATTATTAGAAAAGCTCCATGATGTGTAACAATATGTGCATTAGAACAAGGACACCGACATCACAGCCCTAATTATTTCTGAAGACTAACCAAGTTAGTCTGTTGCAAGGCCGGGGGAAACTCCTGTGGTAACTTAAAGGCCAGTAAATATATTAAAGCATGAACAATAATACATGATTTTGTCATGCTATAATCCACAGAAGTTCATGCTATAATAAATTTGCTCCTAATGGTCAGACCGTCATTACTTCTTAGTAATCTTAAAAGTGAAAGACTTGTATCCAAAAAAATACATTCAGCATTGGGACATCATCTTCCTATTGGCATAATACTTTCTCTATGAGGCAGACCTATTAAACAATATTCACAGACTTAATGAGCCTTTATGGCAATTAAGATTTCCTTCAAAAATTTCTCCTGTTTGGTTACTAAATAAGGATCCCCATTTGTAACATCAACTTCTTCCAACTACAAACCAAAGTAAGTACAGCCCATTTCCAAATCTTTCACTGTAGTGACAGTTTTTACATTCACAAGCAGAGGCTCACAAAACATGTTAGGTCTGTGTCTGTTGTGTGCCTTCAAGTCATTTCTGACTTATGATGATCCTAAGACAAACCTGTCATAGCATTTTCTTGGCATGATTTGTTCAGAGGGGGTTTGCCATTTCCTTCCTCTGAGGCTGAAAGACTGTGACTTGCCCAAGGTCACCAGTGGATTTCCATAGCTGAGCAGAGATTTGAAGCCTAGTCTCCAGAGTCATAGTCCAATATTCAAACCACTACACCACACTGGCTCTCTCAAGTTTGGGTACTTTGTTAAAATCTTTGTGCTGCTATTTTAAAAAAATGATGGGAAGTAAACACCTCTAATAGAGAGGCCCTTTCTACTGTCTCTGCTGCCAACTGTCTATGCATTCAAAAGTGTTTTCCCAGATGAAGAAGGGATGTTAAAATACACTAAAAGATTACTTAGCAGGACCCAATGTGTATGAATCACTATTGACTATGGCCCAAAATGCACAGGCCAAATAAAGCAGCTTCTGGCCACTTTGGGGGAGTGCCATTTAAATGACGCACACCCCCAAAGCAGCCAGAGGCCGCACTCGGGAGCTAAAAGCTGGCCCAAAAAAGAGAAGAAATGATTTGTTCCTCGCGGTGCCAGCTTGAGACTGTGGCAGCAGCCCACTTTGGAAACAAAACATGTGGCCAGCATGATCATGGCCAGAAGCCTCTCCAACAGGGCTGTCTACTCTGAATCCATTTTGGCACTTCACATACTATTTCTAAAAGAGGGTTATATGGATCGGGCATCAGACATCAACATCCATCTGGCACCTATCAAACACCAAGCCCAAGAACTGTATCTCCAGCTCCAGAACCTGTAGCTCTCCTGCTCTTCTTCACATGTTTCTTCCTCTGATTTTAACACTTTCTTCTCTCAGAGCGCGAGCAAGAGAAACAGAGGTCCAAAATACACTGCAGAAATAATAGCAATAGCAATAGCAAGTACATTTCTATACTGCTTATCAGTGCACTTAAGCACTCCCTAAGCAGTTTACAATATGTGAGCTAATTGCCCCCAACCAGCTAGGTATTCATTTTAGTGGCCTTGAAAGGATGCAAGCCTGAGTTATGCCTGAGCCTCTGCCTGGTACTGAACTCACAACCTTATGGTTTGTGAGTGAGTGGCTGCAGTGCAGGCATTTAACCACTGCACCACCAGGGCTCCAGTCTGAGGCTGCTTTAACTCTGCCCTGGCTCAGTGCTAGGGAATCCTGGGAATTGTAGTTTATTGTGGCACCAGAGTTCTCTGACAGAGAAGGCTAAATGTCTCACAAAACTACAGTTCCTAGAAATCCCTAGCACTGAGTAAGGGGAGTTGAAGCAGTCTCAAACTGGATTGTTTCTGCTGTGTGTTTTGGACCAGAGAGAGAGAGAGAACATACATGGTGCAATGAGAGCAAGGAAGAAAGACTAGCAGAAGTCACTCCTGTTCTTGTTTGTCCCTCTCAAATTAAAGAAATTTGCATTTACAGACAAAGAAGGGTAAATGCTACATGGCAAGGAGATTCAGGTAGGCTCATGGGGGGCCCTTGACCAGTCCCCTAAGATGTTTTATTTCTTCAGATTTAATTTTGTAGGCATCTTTTCTACCATAGGCCTTTCTAAACAGCTTATTATGAAAAAATGTATAATCACTCAAACAAACTTCCTTTATATATGAAAATTATACTGATTCCAAAATTGATTGCTATTTGTTCTGGAAATAAATTCCTAGAATTCAGGAAACCTAATCAAGGAATATGTTTTACTAATCACGTGAAAGTTTTCAAGTTTTCAGTAGAATTCCAAAATAAAGGGCTATTCCATCAAAAACCTAATTTCTAAATGTGAGTAACAACACAAAACAAAGTTGGATCTTAATTTATAGAGGTGTGTTAACATTTGAGATCCTATAAATTTTAAATGTCCAGGAAAATTTTTAGAGCAAATACACATGCATTATGCAGTACAATCTCAGATTACAGTTCTGCAAGATGAGTGTGCTGATGTTTTATAAAGGACAGGCATTTCAAAGAATCTCAAGAATTCAAGAAAGCATAACAACTGAACCTATTGGAACTTGGTTTTTGTTTACACAGACGTAAAAGGCTAGTTATAAAAAGAATGGCAATAATTTTAACAAGTGTTGCACATCTACAAAGTCTGTATTGTCCGCACCAGATATCTACACAAAGGACACACATGGGTCTGTTGTGTTTCTTTCTAAAATGTTAATAGTGTAATCAAAACAGTGGCATCCCATACAAGAGAAACAATACCTAATGCATTCACAGATGGGTTCAATACTGGTGGGAAAAGAGCAAACAATGTTATGTTTGTAACACCTGGGGACCATGTTCATATACATAAGAAATTGATAGGAACAAACAACTGTCTAGGAGAAAATCCTAACATCTATGAACTTGTAAATATATGAGAAGAACTGAACAGAGCCTGAAGGGGGCCAGTTCCATATACTATCTTTTTTTCCCAAAAA